CCCCCAAACATACGGACAAAATAGGAATTATACACTACCTCCGGGAGGATCAGCCCTGGGCCGCCCTCCACATATTTTAATGGCGTAACCGTAGTCTGTGGCACACTGTGTGGCGAAATTACGTCCGTTGGCCTTGGTGGACAATATGTTTGCGTGAGTCCGCACCACTAAAGAAAAGGAAGCATGATGGCCTAAACGCGGCGCGTCGCTGGAGAGCGGGCAGAGAACCTGTCGACAAAATGCAGGTTTCTGAGCAGCTTTCTCAGACTCTCAGCCTTGCAACTATATCCTCTGCCTGCTAGGCGCACCCCTGTGGACACTGTGCAAAATAAAAAAGCATCATCCACACGCATTGCTATAAAATACAAACCATGCTAAGACAACGTGTGTGTACCGTGTCTTTCAACGCTCCCGGCCAATTCCTCGTCATCGACTGGACGACGTCTTTGCTCCCCGCCTCCTGTGAACATCCTTTTCATCTCATTCTTTTCTTATATCCTCTTTCAGCAACTCTTTTTACTAATCGCAAAGCAATATACCTTACACCAGAGCAACTCTACACCTAGATCTCTCGGGCGATCCATCGTCTAGTTTTTTTTAGCAAACATTGGCAAACACAAATCAACTGAAGTGTTTTGTCCGAATGAGACCCATCCGATCACCCAGAAGATCAAGTCAAAAAGAAACACTTGTTGAGCGAGGGCAAGTGTGCCAAATGCCATTCATGCGTCATGCGATTTGGCGGGAACGCTGCTTTGATGCCATTGGGAGGTTCTGGCCAGCGCTCTGTGAGGAAGGAGCCTTGGGAAGCGCCCAACTAAACACATTGTCCAACTGGTTCTGAACATTATCAGGGACACTTCATTGCTAGGGGTTCCAGTTTCCACTCACATGGGGGAACTTAAAAGCCTTTGATTCTTAGGTCAGAAGCTTGTGTGTTCCACCAAGGCAGCATTGAGGTCAACTGTGTCTGCACCATCAATCACCATGCCAGGCATCCTTGTTGGAGGCAGAAAGCAAAAGGAACCCAGCCCCATCAACAGAATGGTCTAAGCAGCCTGCAGGACGCTTCAGCAGAGCAAGCTAGCCAGCCAGGCCAGTAAGCAAGCCAAGCCAAAGCCAAGCCAGTAGCTAGCAAGCAAGGCAAACACACCAACACACACAGAAACCCACACATACAGCAAAAACTCCGAATGCATGATTACAGTACATGTGGAAACCGAAAATTAAATAGGATCCCTACCATCTTCTTGAGGGGGGTCCTCTGGAAACTGTAATTACATTTTTCGCTGTAACCCACCTCCTAAATGTAAGCGAACGTTTTGTCGAACAGTTACCTTACAATTAAAAATGTGATTTTACATTTGGATGCATTTGGGAGGAACCCCCAAAATGGCACGGGACGTTGGAAAATGTAAGTTACACTTTCTTGAACATGTACGCTACATGTTTAGAACATGTAACTTACATTTTGCTAGGTTTTGGGATTCGCTTCACATAGGTTTACATGATTTGCACCTCTATAGTATATCTAATTCGATCTACTTACGCTACATGCCACGCTTTTCCTCTGTATCTCTTCCCCCCCCCAAATGCTCTGGAATTCCAGACATGCGACGGCAAATGTGATTCCTGAGGAACAATCGAAGGCCACTGACAGCAAATCCTCGGGGAGGTTGAGCTTACATTTAGGAATTGAGTGAGTTAAGGGTCCTCCCTAAATGGAACTTATATTTTTTGACCCCCCGCCCCCTATCTTAAAATGTAACTTACATTTCCTGGAGGACCCCCCTTTGTAGAGTGTTGAGCGGGTAGGGATTAACTTGGTTTTGCTATGTTGACGTGGGGAGTTTGATTGATCAAAGTTCTTCACTATCTGAATGTGTTGAGCAAAATGCAGCCTGCAGCACACCAACAAGCACTCAAGCAAGCAAGCATGCCAAGCACCGACCCTTCAAACCACACCAACACACACAAACAAAAAATCCGAATACGAAACTTCGCCAGGCATCACAGATGTCCAGTTCGCCGGCGGTGCTTTTGGACCCGCCGGCTTCTGTGTCGCAGGGGCTCTTCGAGCTCCGGACGTATGCGGATCTGGTCGTCCCAACGTGTGACCTACAAAGGCAACCAGGTGGACATCGAAATGCGAAGGCTTGAGCTTAAGAGAGAACTTGGCAATAGCGATGGCGTCCACCTAATAGCGATGGCCTCCACCCTACTAGCGTTGGCCTCCACGTGCACCTAGTAGCCATGGGCTCCACCCTACTAGCGATTGCCTCCACCTAATAGCAATGTCCTCCACCCAACTAGCGATGGCCTCCACCCTACTAGCGATGGCCTCCACCTAATAGCCATGGCCTCCACCCCAGTAGCGATGGCCTCCACCTACTAGCAATGGTCTCCACCCTACTAGCGATGTCCTCCACCCTACTAGCGATGGCCTTCAACCTACAAAGACTTTGGCAAGAACTTGGTTTAGATCAAGAGTGATTTCATGTGGAATTCACCCTTGATATCCTGCAAGCACCACAAATTGCCCAACTGAGTCCTCCCACTTTCTTTGAAACCGTTGGAAATGAAAACTGTTTCCCCGGAAACTCAGCAATCTGATTTTGCTAAACGGACCATCTCGCCATCCACAAACCGATGGAAACACCATTCGTTTTGCCGACTCCATCTTCATCACTCATGTGTCTATAGAAAGATAGGCTGGGTGTTTTCATCTGGCTTTCATCTGTCACATCGTGTCACTCACATTCTCCTGCCCAGTGACCCTCCATGGATTTTCTCGGACCCTTTGTGCGCACTCGGCAAAGGTCCAGTTGGTGCTGCTCCAGTCGACGCAGTGCGTCGTCACTGCGGACTGAGGCTGCACAACCCATTGTGATTCCAGGCGTCGACGGAAACAACAGGTGTTCTCTTCTCTCTGAGCCACAAACAGCCAGCGGGAGCGGACGCTAGCGGGATCATGCGATTGAAAGGGTAAGACCGCTTGTCCTCAAACTACAAAGCCAAGGGGCCAAGGGTACACTTAAGGGGTTTGAGGGTCCCCATGTCGAATCACTTGGACCCTGCAAGAAACATTGAGCTTCGGCTTTTGTATGACATAGACCTGAGAGTGGGGGG